CCTCTGTTGATTTTGTTACCCTTGTTGATTTTTCTAATGATCCTCCTCCTGTAGAATGATTTAAACCAATTCAAGTTTATGTTAGACGTACTCCTACTTTGTCCCTCCCCGCCACTGACCCGTCACCCGAGCCTGCAGTAGTACCTCTGCGACGCTCACAATGAGTGTCTCGCCTACTTGATAGGCATGAACATATGCCTATTTCTCTTACTACTACTTTATTTGGCACATCTATTCCTACTTGTTATTCTCAAGGAGTTAAAGATGCTCGTTGGGTAACGACAATGAACGATGAACTACAAGCCCTTCAAGAAAATTTCACTTGGGATATTGTTCCTCGACCTCCAGGTGTTAAGCCTATTGGGAGTAAATGGGTGTATTCAGTAAAGCTGAATTTAGATGGTATTATTAATCTTTACAAATCTCGATTAGTTGCATTATGTGATAAATAAGAGTATGGTGTGAATTATGACGAGACCTTCACACCTGCCACAAAATGACTAGTGTTCAAACCATTTTGACTATTGTTGCCCCTCAAGGATGGCCACTCACTCAAATGGATGTGAAGAATGCATTTCTTTATTGAAACTTAATAGAATATATTTATATGATCCTTTCTCTAGGGGTATCCTGTCGCTACTCGAAAAATGCATCGCGCAACGACGGGGAGGCGGAAAAAGATAGACAGAAGAGTCGCCACCGAACTTTATTTATCCCATGAGGGGAAAGGAAAATATCGAGAAAACCTTAGGAAGAAATGGATAAGATGGTCTCGCGGCCAAGAACGGGTTCGGAAGCCGGTTATGCAAGGGGAAGGTATTAGCACCCCTCACATCCATCGTACTCGATGGAACCTTTTGTTTGTCGACGTGTGATTATATTTGCTAAAATATTATGCTATAAAAGTGTGTTCCAAAGGGAGAGAGAGAGAGAGAGAGAGAGAAAGGGTTAGAAACAGGGAAAGAGAGGTAACGGGGAAGAAGAGAGAAAGAACAGACTCGGTAGGACTTCGCAGTCCTAGGCCTACGTATTCTCAATAGGTATGAGAAAGTTAGAGTCGACGTAGTTCGGGGACTACAGATATGGGGGGGGGGGATGTGCTCGGCAAGGATTGTGGCCCTTGTGCCTACGTATCTTTACTTGAAAAAAAAGTAAAGAATCAGAGCAGCCGTAGTTCGGCCTACGGTTTGTTGATGTTTTGTGGATGATGCTATCGTGCGCATTCTAGCAGTTTAGGAGTTTTTTGCTGCTCGCATGTGAGGAGACTTATGCGTTACCTGTTTGCGGTAGAACGGACGTAACATATCCTTTTTGAAATGATTAGGTTTTCGCCAGACAAGGCAAGATGTCACATTGATTGGTTGAATTGTTTTTAGGGGTGAGATAAGTCCTCGGATAGTAACCCCTACGAGTAGTACCCAATTTGTTATCTCAAAGTTTTGTTATGAAAAAGTGTGGCGAATATAGCGTCTTCGTATTGAAAGACGAGTATCGAGACCACCCCCACTACAGTGAGCATCCCAATACTCGGAGAGGAAGAAGACTACACTTAATCCTCTCTCTTTAATTCAATGCAAAGAGAACTTCGTCTCTTATTAAATATGTTTTTGGTTTTGAATGGTAAGTGCTTTGCGACAGAGGACCCTACGGTAAACGTCAGCACTCGGGATAGGAGAAGGCCTACGCCTAACCACTCCACGACCATTCAAGTTTTTGTTATGAAAAGAGTTCGAAAATGCACTCGGTGCAGGACCGAGGTTTTAGGTGAGAAAGGTTTCGGAAAGAGTTATGGAAAGAGATAGGTGGAAGGAGTCGCGTCTTCGTATTAAAAGACGAGTGTCAAACCACCCTCACTACAGTGGGCATCCCAACACTCGGAGAAGAAGAGGTCTACACCCAATCCTCTCTCTTTAATTCAGTACAAAGAGAAATCAATTTAAATGGTTTTGAAAAAGGACTCGGTACGAGACCGAGGTTTTTAGGAGAGATGGTATGGAAACGTCTTCGTATTGAAAGACGAGCGTCGAAACCACCCTCACTACAGTGGGTATTCCACGCTCAAAGAAGAAGAGGTCTACACCCAATCCTCTCTTTTTAATTCAATACAAGGAATTGATTTTAAGGAGATGAGATTTGCAAATGGATGGGAAGCGTCTTCGTATTGAAAGACGAGTGTCGAAACCACCCTCACTACAGTGGGCATCCAACACTCGGAGAGGAAGAAAGTCTACACTTAATCCCCTCTTTTTAATTCAATACAAAGATAATTGGATATGAAGATGGTTTGAAAATGTTTTTGATTCGAGTTGGGACAAGTAATGAAGAGAGAAAAGAGGTGGTCTCAGATCCACATTACTTATCAATAATTTGACTGGTAATGAATTACGGAGGTCTCGTCATCGACCAAAACAGATGAAAGTAGGATAAAATGTCCAATAAAAAATGAGAAATAAAATCTAACATATAAATTAAAATATAGTTAGAAAAAAGAGTTTCCAATAACTTAAAATTGCAAAAGAAATAATTAGTAAAGGATTTTAGTATAAACAAAAGCAAATAAATAACCTAAATAAATTCTAAACCTTATTAAAGAAACAAAACAAAAAAAAAAGTATTTGGTTGGATGGATTCTTTTTTAAAAAAGTATTTAAAAAAAATTAAAAAAAGAAAGAAGAAAGAAGCCCACAAGAAGAGGAACTCTGTTAGATGAAGTGTGGATCGGGTTATCCACAGGTCCATGTACCGACCTGTTTCGTTCACCAAAAGGAAAGGGTTATACGAACCCTGTTAGCCGCTCACAACACAGAATGATGAGGAGAAGAAACTGGTGAGCATTGACGATGAATAACCACAAGGACGACTGTTGAAACCACTCCATATCTGTAACAACAACAACAACTTTAGGTCTCATGTGAAAGCATCAACAAGCAACGTGAATCCGACTCGTTCAAAGATGAAAACGGCTGGGCTGCGATGTTCGTTGTTCTTCTCACTTCGAAGCGAAATTAGCAGCAACCGTATTTATGGCATTGCAATGGTAACGAAGTGTTCCCGCTTTATCCGAAGATGATGATGGTGATTTTTGTTGTTGTTCAAGTGGGTTTATGAAGGGTTTCTGTTGGAACAACGACGAATTGATTTTCGATGGTTTACAATCTTGCTCACCACATGTTCGATGAAAGTACGGTTATGGCTTGGATGGTTGTTGAAGAGTTCCAAACATTGATGCGAACAACTCGCTTTGATGAAGATATTGACGGTAACGGAAACGGAGCTTCCATGGCATGACATTTGAAGTAAAACTCTTACGTTGTTTTTCTGAGTTCTGTAGTGATATTCATTTCTTTCTCTTCTTCTGTCTGATACTCTGTTATTTGCAGTGGGGTTAAGTTAGAAGAATGAAAGTGGTTGGTTTTTTATGAGGTTGAAAGCTTTGTGAGGTTGCGATGAAGAGGGTTTGGATTTGTGGTAGCAGGGTTTATGGTGGTTTCGAAAGCCTTGCCCAAAAGAGTATGACAGCGACACAACATGGAAGGCGAGGTTGGTGAGTGATTTGAAGCGAGAATGAGGGTGTATGAAGTGATGTTTAAGGAGGAGCTTGAAGTGTGTTGGGGAAATGAGCTTAAGTTTGAAGAAAATGCCAGCGGTGCAGGAAGTTCTCGTTTTGCAGCTATAGGAATATCACCTCTGAGCAAGGTGATGAGTTGTGGTTCAGAAATGAAAGCTTTGTGTTAATGGTAGTTTGAAAGTGGTGAGCTGGGGTTTTGGTGTTCGAGATGTGGTTCAGAATTTTTCTGGTGAGTTCTGTTTGAAGTTAATGGAAAAAGAAATGGTGGTTAAAGCGAAGTTGAAGTGTGGTTGAGATTGAAGCTTCGTTCATGGTTTGTTTGAAGACGGGAGAATGAGATTCGAAAGTGGGAGATGGTAATGGAAAGTGGAGGAGAGGTGATAAACTTATGAATGGTCTTGTTTGGCAGAGGGTTTGGTTTTCGAAAAAATGGAAGTTTTGAAGGTTGGTGTTGTTGATTGTAGGTCTGGTATATCTTTGAATGATTTTAAGGTGAGTATTAAAAGAATAGGGAAGGCTGATGTTTTGGTAAGTGATTTCCTCCGAGAGAAAAACTCTACTGAAGTACTGAAGAAATACCCAGCCGTAAAAAGAGAGCCTATCCGTTGGATTTGTTGGTGTTGATTGTGGGGTCACAGACAGGTTGTTGTCTGGTGTGGAGGTTTATTGCAGCAGGCTGGTATGTAGCAGGTTTTGTTTGGTTGTGGCAGTTAGGGCTGGAAATGAGTCGAGTCGAGTCGAACTCACCTCAGCTCGGCTCGACTCGTTAAGAATTGTTCGAATTCGAGTTCGAGTTCGACACGAACTTTTTTTTAAGCTCAAACTCAACTCGTTATAAGTTCACGAACAGTTCGGTTCGACTCGTTAGGTTCATCTCATTAGGGTCAGCTCACATGGTTCACGAACTTAAAAACTATTTTTTTTA